GTAATGCTAATATATTTTGATAGCATATTTTGCTATATTTTAAAGGATTAGAACAAAACTTACAAAAGTGTAAATTCAATATAATTTCAAGCCTAAAAAGTAGTGTATTTGACACACCATGTGCCAAGAAAAGTAACTTACTTCTCTTGTTAATAGTGTACCTTGTTTATACTACAATCTATATTTTTCCATATATAAAAAGCATTATGAGACAATACCATTTATAGTTCATTAGTTTGTCCAAAAGCAATTAAAGATCATTTATTCTTGAATCCTGTTTACATATTTGGAAACAGATTTCAAAGAAATTTAAGTATCAACAACTATTACTAAATGATGAGCATATTCTCAACATGACTTTACCATCTAATGATGAGAACTATCTGGAAAGAATCACTATTATTAAGTGACATATTCTCATGCAGTTCTATATCTGACATGGTAAGTCGGGTTCCAGAAGGATTATACATTTTCATGATGGCTGAATTCACCATTTAAAACATTTTAAATGGCAGCACAGAGAGCTCATGTTCAATTCTTAGCACTGACAACAGGCAAGTCACAACCACCTGTAATTCCATCTCTAGGGTCTCCAATGCCTCTGGCCTCTATAGACACCTAGGTATCCAAATACATGGAGAGACTCATATGCATATAAATAATTAAAAATAGGAAATCAAATTTTTTTTAATAAATATATCCCATTTATAGCTCACAATGTGCTCGGTTTCTCTGTCTTCCCAAACAATTCACATCTTAGGTTGTTATTTCAGATTAGAAGCTTTTAATACTGGCACTCAGCAAGTTGAGCTGGTGGTAGTGCTGTGAAGTTGTACCAACAGTTAAGATCAGAGGTACCTTCTCCAGGGAAGAAGCTAACATTCCTGCCTTTTGGAATACATTGTCTCATATCTCTTTGATTTTACTATTCTTTTTATGATACTTTTATTATTAAAACAATTTATTAAATTAAATACTCTTTGCTCATATTCATCCCCTCCCCTAAGTACTTTCAAATCCTTACCCTGCTCCATAACCACCCAATTTTAAGTTCTTTCTCAAAAAAATAAACAAAAACCTAATATAACCACAAATCTCCCCCCAAACCAAGAAAACAAAATAATCTTCCATTAACTTCCTTCACCAAATTGTAACCAAATAAAAGCATATGAAAACAAATAAACAAACAAACAAACTCTGAAGCCCATTGTATATACCCAGTGTTACTCAATTGGAGAAAACTGATTTTTCCCTCTCCAGCAAGCATAAGTGGCAGTTTTCAGTTGTTAGCTTTTCTCTAGTAGATAGGTTTTCACTTGTTCATTCATATTTAAAAAATAATATAACAAAAAAATAAATATGATGATACAACAAGAACTACGGTACTGAATTTGGGCAAGATAATCCAACAGAAGGAAAGACTGCTCCAGTGATCAAGCATTTGAGACTAGATAGCACAGGGACCTAGGGTAAAACCAAATAAAACTGGTTTAAAAAGGACCAAAAATATAATGGTAAAATGACTCCTAATGACTTTCTGCTATATTCATATATCAGTCCCTTGTCCAACCATCACATATCTTTATAATGGCTGAGCAAAGTTCAGTTAATTTATTGAACAAATAAAAGAAATATGATTATTAATTATAGATAAGTCTATTAATATCATGATATTTTTTCAGTGATATTCACAGTCAATTCTCAAACTGCAGCCTTAAACTTCTACACTTCCCTCCATGGTACATTGAGGAAGAATCTTTCTAGTGTCAGAAAGAAAATGCTTGTGAACATCTGCAAAAGATATCTTGTACAGTGAAGTCAGTATATGACAATAGTATACTATTTGGTCCTTTAATGGCTTTTATGCATTAACTCTACACATAGCTCTTCTTTACCTCCTGACAAACGGCATTTAAACACAAGTCTAATCATTTTATCTATCTGCCTCATGTTGTCAAATGCATATGCTTTAGAAGAGCTGTGTTCATCAGAAACCTTAATCTATGGCTTGAAACATGTGCGTGTGTGTGTGTGTGTGTGTGTGTGTGTGTGCGTATTAAAAAACAGTTATTGAAATCAGATAACATGAATATGAAGAAGGAGATTATATAAGAAGGTTTGAAGGGAGAAAAGAGAAGAAATGTTATAATTGTATTATAAAAATGAGCAAGAAATCATGGCTTGGAGGAACTTTCTGAGACTATATCTCTTTGCCCCACTGGATTGGATTTCTAATAATTACAATATTACAAATAAATATATAAAACAATACTTTCTGAGTATTGTAAGAGTTTTGTAAGTATTGTAAGAGTTTTGTAAGAAAGTGTTTTTATCATACAAATAAGTGATAACTAATTTCCTGATTTAATTCTATAGACTAACTAGGTTACTATAGAAAGAAGTCAACTTGCTACACATAATGGCCAATGACGTTATCAGTGGTTATGAAAGCCAGTGAACCTAACAAATCTTCAAATCATCCAACTTGTATTACCATCCCACTAATTCAATATCTTGAAGGGATAAAATGAACCTGTAAGGAATTGCTCTAGGTATAGAAAGTCCTCTTGGAAAAGTATGGTTCATTTTTTGTTGCTTTGTAAATTAAATATGTAATGCCACACTTTGCCAGTGGGCAAACAGCACACACGTAAAATTACTTTAGATAATTTATCCCAATAACTCCCTTGCAATCTAACCTAAAAAAAAGGGGGTTGTCTTTCACATCTCTCCTGATTCAAGACTTACAGTAAAAATTCAAGACCAGTAAAATGAAAAGGTGGCTTTCTGGGGCAGTTGCAAAGAGCTCCCAGATGATTTTGAGAATCTGTTTGCTTTAATCTTTTATATTTAGTATAAGGATATTAGCTTACATGAGTCCTGACTATGGATAATGAGAATTTACTAAATGAACATAATTGTATAGTTTAAGGGAAACTTGATGATCTCATGAAACTACTCATTTTCAGAAGAGAACCTGAAAACTACTAAGATTATTGCTCTCACATTCTTTCCAATGAAAATTTTGATCCAAACTTTCAGTGTTTAAATCTCAAGTGATTCTAGCTTCCTCGTTAAATCCCATATATATGGCACCTTACCCAATCCTTAGTGGACTCTTCTCTCACATCACTTCATCATACAAAGCATATAGGAATACAGTTTCCTTGTCTTCTTTATTGCTCCACTGCCAGCACCGATTCTTCCTCCATAAACATTATCAACTGACCTCTACTCCTACTTCCTATCACGGCCTATTCAAAGTTAAATTATGAGCAATTGAGGATAATTATGCAAGAAAAAAACTATAGACAATTATGGATAGTTATTATTATACCAGAATTCCCCAGCTAAAACACTTCTCACTTTCTAACCAACAGAAATCTATATAGCACTATATTCAAATATTTATAATATACAACTTAAAAATCTATTCTCATGACAGTGCAGTACTTTGATCCAACAAAATATGGTTCCTTTATCAAAAGTGGAACATGATTGTTTGTGTGAACTAAACTAATATTCAACAAGACTCTCAGCTGGTTTAGGGTGACACTTTGTTCTTGTTATCATCAGCAAAGGGTCAGCATCCATAATGAAAGAGAGGTATGGTTGGAGCAATTTTAACTTATTCTATCATTGATTCCATATCAGGTAAAAGTGTCTATCAAAGATCACCCAAAACACTTGTATCTGTGTCTCTTTTCAGTTATCTTCCAGATATTTTCATACTTAACATTCTAACATCAGTGGTTTCTTATTTCAAAGCATAGAGATTAGGTTTTTCTGCCCTTTGATTTGAAGATTCAAAATTCTTAAACTGAAAACTTGGTTCTGAGTGTCTGAATTTTAGCCTGCCAACTTGATATATTCTTCATTGACCTAGGTTATTTGAGATGTTTCCCAGAGATGGTTTTGTACAGTCTTAGTTACCATAAATAAATAATAAGGATAAATAGGAAACGGTATTTAAAAACTGTATCTGTTAAGACTTCTCAAAAAATTTCCCTGACTAAATTGTAAAGAACCTGTGAACCAGGCTGCTTCTAAGTGAAGGACAAGGAATTAAGAAAAAGCTTGAAAAGCTTAAAAACTGGAGATTTTCCTTGATAAAATTATCATAGCACACTGAACAATATTGATCAGCTTTTCAAAGGTAGCCTAAACCCTCTAAGAATAATCTTATCTTCAATGAACTGTTTTCAAAAATGAACCAAAAATAAAGTCAAGCCTTTCTTGCTGCTCAGAGTACTTTTTCATCCTCAAACAGTACCAAAATAAAATTATTTAATAAAATGTATGAAACAGTATTATTTATTGAATTATTGTTTCCTTGGAAAGATCAATTACTATGTTATTTCAAAATTTTGAGGGTATAAACCATTAAATACATTGGTTATGTTTTGGTACTGAAAGTATTTTTCTTCCCTCTAGAAGAAAGGAGTTTAAGGACAAATAAAAATCATTCTACAGGTCTTGTCTCCTTCAAGAGTAAATAATTAAAATTATCTAGTCATTCTTAATTTGTTATCATAGCTGAAATTTATGAATTTATCTCATATCACTTATCTGTTCTCCCAATACTCATTTATTGAGCCTTCATGCTTGACTACTGTAAATACTGGAAATTCAAAGGCTTTTCACCAGATTCAAATTTATGAGTTTGTACTCATAAATATCACCAAGTTTTAAACATAGAATTGCAAAATAAAAATCAAATCAGGGAGTCAAGACGTGAGTACAAAAAGCACCAGTAACCTGTACTGTGCACCTGCAAAGCATCAAAGAGTTCCCACAGGGTAGGACATCGTTCTGTTCTTGGTTTTTATGTATGTATGTATGTATGTATGTATGTATGTATGTATGTATAAATATATACTGAAAATATTACTGATTCATTCCTTAAGATACTTCTGGAAGAGTTGTGCTGTGTGCTTACAGGAAATTGAGGGAATATTCTGCAAAACAAAAGCACTTTAATAAATTTATTATATTTGTAGCTAATTTTTGAAGGCATTCGAGGTCCTGGGATAGAAGGTGACATCGCCATTGATGATGTGTCAATAGCTGAAGGAGAATGTGCAAAACAAGACCTAACAACTAAGAGTAAGTATCTCTCCTATTGAGTGCCACTTGATATGATGTGGTAGTAACATAACAACTATTACAGTAGCATGTTTCCATTTCATGCAAAAGTTACGTTTTAGTTAAGCCATTCTTATTTCTGAACCTAAATCATCCAAGTTTACTTAAATCAAATGATTAAATGTCATTATTGCCATATTTGACGTAACATGAAACGATAGTAATTTCTACTTAATTATATAAGACTGCTGCCCTGTGATTTAAAATATATTTATTTATGTTTTTTTTTTTTTTTTTTTTGGTCAGGGGTTTACTTTTAGTAAAATACTTTGCAAATATATATACATAATAGTCACATAACCAAGCTGTTTTTAACTCCAAATGATTAAAATAGTACTAAATGTATGTGTTGACTTGGTCCCTAAATCTTCATCTCATATTATTTGTTTGATACATGTATTCAGAATCATTTTTGGAATGCATTTTAACTTCAGGATTTTCTTAGACTATTTGGAAACTTTAATTCTGTGGGCACACAATGAATGAGCAATCAAGCTAAATTTACACAAATAACTCATCAATAATGTAGTATATTCAAAGGTTTGAAACTATATATTGTGCAAGTCTAGAGTGCATCAGAGCCTTATTAAATCAGCATATTTATGGAAAAATTATTTCAGTATAGATAGATAAATATGCAATTGCAGCTTAATGTACCGAATTAACTCTATTATTTAACATTGTGAAAAAAACAAAAACCAATAGACTGTGGTTGCTTGTTATGAAGCTTAATATTTAAAATACATGTAGTAAAAGAAAAGATTTTGCTGTACCCACATGAATCAAATTTTCTAGAACACAGGGAAAACACATGTATGCTCTTCAGAGAGTGTAGGATTGCCTTTTGCTTTCAAAACATTGCACAATGATACTAACATTACACCAAATGAAGGTTATATCCATATGGCATTACAGATTCTACATTTTTATCAAAATAAAATAAATTAGATTTGATAAATTAAATTAAACTCTCCAAATGGGGAAAGCAGAAGTGGTGAAAATAGTCATTGGGAAACAACTGCAAAAGCCAACCATTCTTCAGTGTCATAGTCTAGAATGTTCTACCTCTAGGTTTCCAAATTAGTTGATAAAGAGTAATATGTGTCTAAGATACACATAACTACACATAACTAATATCCAAGCTGTTTCCCTCTTTTCCTTGCCTTAGAAATAAAATTGAGGTGTAATGTAAAACCTATATTTTCCAAAAGTACTTTCCATGTATTGAAATTTTTGTTCAAAAAAGGTTATGTTGCTGAATGGGTAACTACATGGAATGTTTATGTCCTTAACGTCAGTTCTGGGCACTTATCTTCTTTATCTTTAGATTCCGTGGATGGTGCTGTTGGGATCTTAGTTCATTTATGGCTTTTTCCAGTCATCATCCTCATCTCTATCCTAAGTCCTCGAAGGTGACCTTATCCTGGCAGAGGCTATTCATAATTCACCAGGCACCGGCATGAAGAAAGAGTCTTTGTAAATGGACACAGAAAAAAAAAAACAAACTACCAAAGATTCCTCCACTGACTACTGACTCAAAAATTAAATAATAAAAACAACATTTTTTAAGCACTGGGGATAAAAAGATATCATGGAAATATAACTTATTCCAAACTACATATAGAAGATAATCTTGGCCTGGGTACGGAAGAGACCTTCAGGTGCTTTTGTGGCTAAAATGATTTCAGCTTCATCTGGTTGAACTCTGGAAAAAGAAAAGAAAGAAAATGAAGAAAAAAAGAGCTATAGAAATCCTCGTCAAAGCACAAAGTCATGGCTGGTTTTGTTTCAAATGAATAGTTTGCTTGTTACCATGGAAACCTAATGGCCTGCCAACAAAAACCTCACTGTAAACAGGGTACGTGGAGAGCTGGCATTTATTTTCCTTTCAAGAAGGTTTTATGTAGAGAATTAAATAAATGTAGGCCCTTTTACCTTTGGCTGTTACCCTTCATTGAAAATAATCCAAACTCAGAATTATTTAAAGGTTCTGTGTTCCTTCCCACCTTAACCTACCCCACTTTACTGTTGTTTCTGTTGTTGTTACTGTTTGTTGTTTTGTTTTGTTTTTGTTTTTGCTTTTGCTTTTTCTTTTCCTCCCTCCCATGGCTAAGCTAGATAACTGTATGATGTCTCTTTTTTGCATGCACTACTATCCAGGACAGTAAACCTGGGCTTACATATTACACAGGCTTATCGGAGTTTGCTTGCGGCCACTTGAACACCCAAACTACGTCATCTGTTCCTATGAAGAAACCAAACCACCATCTTTTATAAATTGCCATGGAAACCAAGTGCCTTCAATGAAACAAGCCTGAATAATTTTCAACTCAGAAGCTTGCACTGCTAACAATGGCTTGTGTAAAACTATTTTCTAAACAGAAGACACAGCCTACATGTGCAAATTACAGGCAAGACGCCCCAGCCGCTTCTGAAGAAGAAAGGACCCGCTGCTGCGTAAGCCCATGCAGACATTTGTTTCACCTCCTAGACAGCCATGGCCTTTCGGCTTATTGTCCATAGAAAGTAACTTCCACTGAGACCAGACATGGGAGCAACACGTTTTTCTTCCAGGTTATTAAATGGGTCAACCAGAGCAAAAGGTTGTTGAGATAATACTTAATGCAGAAGGTGGTAAAACACAAAAGTGATTTTTTTTTTCTTTAACTCTTAACCTCCATTTGAAATGAAATTGGCCCTGCCTTTAGAGAGAACAAGGAGATGTTTGAGATTGCCATGCGGACAAACTCTGCCGCGGAACTGGGCCTGAAAAAAATCTGGCTTTATTCTAAACTCTGAGGGTAATATGCCTCTGCCCTTTAGTCAGACTCTGTGCAAATTGTGAAATATTATTTTATTATTTTAACAAAAATAAAAAACACTTTTACACAAAAACAAAAACCTGTAAAAATGATTTTGAGCTACCTGAGGACAAACCATACCTTTAACCAGCCAGTTTTCCAATGCATTGTAAATTTCATTTACACCTGTTGATTATGAAAATTTGAAGAATCTTTTTCCTCAATTATCTCAGCTTTTAACTTCATTTAAAAAGACTTTTGTCTAAAGAAGAATATTATTATCTGTTCGTTTCACACCCCAGGATTAAAAAAATATTGATTATGCAAGTAATTGGAATCTAGGTATTAAATTGCAAGATTTGCAAATATTAATATAAAAGCACAACAAAATGTATTAGGAAATGACAAAGCTTGATTTTTTTAAAGAATTGTAGAAATGTTTGTGCAAATTCAATAATTCAACTTAAAATATAATTTTACATCTCTGTTCAATAAAGCCTCTTTCCAGGTAAGGTATGATAAGCAGTATGTGTATTTGTTGGGCAATATTCACTTATCATTAAAATGAGATTAGTTATGCAATTTATTGGTTATGTTATCTCCAGATAAATCTTCAGTGTTTCATATGCAATTAATGTCTGCAGGAAGAAATTTTAATAGAGACATCCCAAGCACTCTCCTTTATCTGTAATACATGTAAAAAGTTTTATACCTCAATAGGTAAAATATGAACCAATTGCAAGTTGAAATTTAATGTGTAATTTCATAGTTCAAAAGGGGATATGTCAGAAAACTTAGGATATGATAGATTCAAGCTAACCCACATCTTTTAAATTGAACAAAAGAAGCAAATTATTATCATAATTTATTTGAATTAATTAGTCATATTGAAAATTTTTTTCAGAAGTTCAAAGTTATCCATCTATCCTATCAAACCAAAGATTTCATGTAAGTGATATCTGGGGCACTTAGCATCTGAAAAATCTGCATTTGCTTATATTTCCACTGTATTGCAACTAACCACATCTCTTCATGATCCAAGATTATTTTATTTTCTTTTGTTATGCTTTATTTTTTACATTCTCATAGCAAGGACACCAATAAGATCTTTTGATTTAAAGAGAGGATTAATTAGTCATTTTCTTTCTATTATCTTTATGTTGATTTGAGTGATACCTTGCAAACTTAAAGGTAAAAGACCCCAAAATTTAGATTATTTGAAAGCGTACATATTCTTCCAAGAAAAATAACAAGTTTTTGTTGTTGTTGTCGTTTCTAAGTTATCACAAGCCAACAAGCTGCTGTAAGTAAAACATTTATCGAATACTGAAATCTTTCCTAAACTTTCACATTGTGAGAAAACACACTTCAGAAGTTCATGAGAACTGGCTGGTACTTCAAATTTTGAATAAACTTCTAAGACGTCATAGATTATAGTGAAGAACAGGGGGCAATCAGAGGTGAAAGCAAACAGAGGTTTGAGATGATAATGGATTTCTCACATGAAATCTTCATCACCTAGACAAACCAACAAACAGAATCGGTATTTTGTCTTCAGATCAAATGCTCAGTTGCTGTAATTGAAAGTAAATTGTTAAAAATGTGGAAACTTTAAAATGATTTGGGTAAATAAACTGGGAATTTTGTGAATTCACCTTGTCTTTAAGAGAACTAATGATCATGGAACCCTTAAAACACTATTGGTGACATTCCCATTCCTAATAATTGCTATGTCCATCATAAAATGGACTCAACAACACCTTCACCTTACCATTTTGATAGTGTGTCACCCCTCTGCTGGAGAGAAGCCAGCTGAGTTGAGGGGTTTTTGTTTGTTTGTTTTTTAAATTAGGAAGTGTCTAGCATTTTTTTTTTTTTAAAACTGGGAGAAACAACATACAGTGTAATCACCAATTATTGACAATAATTGATCCCTATTAATCAGAAGCAATACCACTTTCATCAGTTCATGATGTTTCTTTAAACTTCATGTTTCTTTACATGTTAACATTTCTACAATTGGGCCTGTTTTGATTAAAATTAGCAGTATTTCCATGTAGTGATATAAGGGTTCACACAAGAACTGAGAGGACCTGAATAGAAATATTCACCACATTCACTAAAGTTGCCAGAAGTGCCAAACAATGCCAAATATGACCGTCTTTCCTTCAAAGCTAAATGTAATTAAAAAAAAAAAAACATTTCACAATTATAGGATGTATAACTGATAATGGACTATGCAGTTCATAGCCTAATTTCCTTTGCTTTTCTTAAAATCAGTTTTCATAGATGCTTTACATTCACACCTACCCTTGCCTTCCCATTTCCTACCTGCTTGCCTGTCATCTGTTCTTATAGTACATCGTGGATTATTTGCATTCCTGGTCTGCTATATCCCTGGTTCCACGTGGCTTATTGTGTTCAATAGATCAGGAGTGTGGCCCATGATTACATTTCTTTAACTGAACTGACAGATGGCATAGTTACGACATCAGGCAGTGAACCTTGACACTAGAGGCCCTCCATTTCACGTTTCCCACAGAATTGACTTGGCAGAGCAATGAATTTTATACCATGTAATATACAATGAAAATACTTTGAAATATAAATTACAGCTGTACTAATTTTTCACCTAAACAGGCAATTTTAAGTACTTTATAATAATAAACTTATCTGCCAGCAAAATGTGTAATTTAAAGAATAATTAATCCATTTAGTTCTGTACTAAAAAAAATAAATAAAGTGATTATTTTTCCATAATCATTTCAATTTTATGTTTTTATTGGTAATTTTAAAGTTGGTGAGAGACAGATCTGTTTTTGGTAAACTTTTTGAATGATTCTCCTAAATATGTGTTCTTTATCACAAAACTTTTTTATTATTTATTTTTATTCTTTTTTAATGTGCCTTTTAAATACCAGGGCCATTTGACAGACATTTAAACTGGAAAAAATTTACCTCCCCCATAAAAATTTCTGGCCAATGACTACTTCCACTGTTTCGGCTGTGTCTTGACAAAGCAGAAGGAACACTCTTCTTGCAACTGGGCAGTTGATGTCAATGAGGAGTTATTGCATTTTCTGTGAAAACAATAAAATCATAGGGTTTAACCCAAAGCTGTTTCTTTTCCTACAACACTCCCTTTGTTGCTAACCCATTAAATTAATTTTCTTTCTTTCTTTTATTTTTTTTTAAGAAAGCAGTGTATATCATATTCTACTCTGTCTTAGGAAAAAAGCTACTATAGAATTGATTCTTTTCAAAGTTAATATAAAAAGTTGGCTGAATTTTCATAGTATATATACATTTGAAATGTGTATGTTATTACATGAGCAAAGAAAGATATAAAAGTCTAACACTATAATGTGAACTATATCAGCTAGGAACAGTCCCTCATGGGTTAATGTCTGCTTGGAAATAAAAGTGAGAGATAAAGATAAAACTTCTACATATTTCTATATGGACTACTTTATGAGCACATGCTCATTTAAAGCTTAATGAATTTATGAGTAGTGATTTAACAACCCTGAACCCATGTGAGAATTTCAAACTGGAACCCAAAATTTGGAGTAGGGCTGAGGTTAAACTCTGAGTAGAACTGCAATGGTTTTCTCAAGGATATATTTACAACTGATTGAATTTAATTTCAACTGTACTAATTTTCCATGAGTTGCTCTGAAATGTATTCTTATTTTTCAATAAAACGATGGGAAAGTTGTTGAGTAGAGATGAGCTTGATAGTTTTGCTTGTTTTTGTATGGCTCTTCATTGTTGCCCTGGCTTTCCAGGCTATCATTTTTATTTCTTGAGTCTTACCAGTATATTTAAATGTATAAGTTTAATCAAATATGCATTGTGTTAAATTTATATGAAATATGAGTTACATTGGAGACCATAAAGTTTAGACTTAATTTACATTTTGATATTTTCCTTCGTCCAAATAGTTTCAGATAGCTGTTATTTTCCTTTGAATTTTTTTTCAATAAATGAAATTATGTTAAATACTCTATTAGTGTTTGGGGAAATTTTCTGTTGTCAACAAGCAATTAACTTAGAAAAACAACAAAAATGATATTTAGAATGACAATTAAAATGAAAGTATCATTGTTTATTTCACAATTAAGAAGCTTTTGTAGACAACCATCACAGTAAGCATAATTAGACCATCAAAATTTGTGTTCATTTTTACTTCCTTTGTGATAAAATAGTAGACACTAAGATCTTCCTGAATGCATGTGATTTAAGAATTAGGATATGGTGCAGTAGCTATGATTCTGTATAGACATGCAATAATCACAGCTTGATGCTGCAGCGATTCCAGCTTGATGCTGCAATGGTTGCAGATGAATAATACTAACCTTACTCAGGAAGACTTTTTATCGTCTGCTCACAAGGCCACTGCCAGCTAAATGTGAGTCTTCCCAAGGAAATGAAACACTGTCCTACAATGATCAGTGAGAGTCAAAGTGTAAATGGACTTCCACACTAGCACAAGTCAATACTGTCCACTCAGGTTAATTTTTTTCTATCTCTGCCATTATGCCTCAAAGTAAACCCTTGAGCATTAAGAAATAGAGATATAATTAACATTTGAACTC